TCTTCTTCTTATAAAAACACCAGTTATAGTGGGTTCTGGCCCATCCTAAGTATCTCCTCTTAGCTTGGTTACACCTGCAAAGACCCTATTTCCAAATAAAGTCACATTCAGAGGTACTGAGGGTTAGGACTTCAGTGTGTCTTTTTTTGGGGGTGGGGGTGAGATACAATTTAACCCACAACAGATATATAAGTAACATTTTTAAGAAGTGTTAGAAACTTAACCTTGGTGGGCTAAGAAGGAAAGTCTCTCTGGCAAGATTGATTTCTGACTTGCTATTGAGACACATAAAGTTAGGAGATTAGAACTTTGGCTGGCATCACCACTTTGAGAACCACCAAAATCCAAGAGATGTAAATAAACAGGCCCAGTCTAATAAAGAAAGATGCAGCACCTGTAATAATTTAGAATCATTAAATATTTATAAAGATACCAAAAAAATAAAATCCCTAAACCCTTCCCATCACCCCTCCTGTGCCCTCTTTTCCTCCATCAAGTCTGCTCGCTCTTCTTTCCTAGGCAGTTATTTTTCTGCCCTCCAGACCTCCAGCTATGACATCCTTCCAGTAATGGCCTGGAGTCATAGGAATTCCCCCTTGCTGCTGTTGCTTGGAATTATCCCAGCCACCTCCTCACACTCCCATGGGGAAGGAGAAAAGGATGAGATGATACCAGAAATAGTTCTGTTTCAGTCAAATCCAAACTTGACTGTGGGTACATTTAAATTATTGAGAGGTGGCTGTAGTGGTGGTGATCTAGAAAAATAAGGTGTGTCAGCTTCTTCCCTGGCCTCTAAGCTTTCTATCTTTCACCTCCCTGGAGCCATAAACCATATCTCTTCTTGATGAATTGCTGGTGTTCCATAACTTGGCAGAACTTATCTCCACACTGAGCACCGCACGTCAAATTGCCCTTGTTCCTCCTGAACTTTGAGCTTCAACAGCCTGGGGTGGGAGAGGAAGGGAGGGAGGAAAACTGTCACTGATCAAGGGTTCTAGGAGGGGTCAGTGACACAGAGCCAGCACGGAGATAGGGCAGGGAAGACTAGGCCCTAAGAATTCTGGGGCTGGGAAAAGGAGGTAGTGAACTATAGAACGCAAACTAGACACTAAAGGCAAAGTACTCATGAATGGTCAAAGCGTTCGTTGTTAACTTATATCTCCTTTCCTTCCGCCCCATTCCACTGTCAGTACCCAGAGGACAGCTGTGTCTTGTTTACCACTGCATCTCCAGCACCCAGCATCCCACCTGGCACACAATGGACTCCAATCTCTTTGGCCATCTTTCATTTCCTGTCATTTGCAAAGCCCTGCCCTATTTCTGAGGTGTAGCACAAACTAAAACACCTGACCTGGAACACTTTCTCCTTTCAAATGATGCCCTTCTTCTCATCCCTTGGTTCACAGCCTAAATGTTAGCTCCTTGAAGAGTTCTATCTCTATTTAAAGTAAATTATACATACTCTCATGCACACGAGCGTGCTCGTGCACACACACTTTAGCTTCCATCACAGCATCCTGTTTGGTTTCTCCGTAGCCCATACAACAATTCGTAATGATTTGTTCTTTGTATATCTCCTCCACTTGGCTGTACATTCCAAAAAGAGAAAATTCATATCCCTTTTGTTCACTGTTGTAGTCCCAGCAATTAGCCCATCCAAGAGACACACCAGATAAAGGTTAAAGAACAAAAGAATGAATATATAAGCAGAAGGTAATAAACCTATAAGAATTTTCATACTATGTTACATGGGAAGGTAGCATAAAATATGCATGGTATCTTAGACCAGAAGAGGAAAGATGGATTAATTAATAACTATCTAGGATCGATTGAATAACCAAAACTAAAGCTCAATCTATTTCTTCCTTATTCTACATCAAAATCAATTCCAAATGAACCAAAGATGTAAACCTTAAAAAATGTCGTTTAAAAAAAAAAAAACTTGAAGAAAATGTACAAGAAGTCTTAATCATCTTAATGCAGAGACTTTTTCTAAGCAAGCCAAAGAAGAAAAGATAGTTTTTATGTATTTAAATATATCTAGCACTTTCTTCACACACATATATGCACTGAAAACATCAACAGAGACAAAAGATAAATTGGGGAATTATAACTGTTATGCTTGACAAAGACCTGGATTTTATTATATATATTATTACAAGTATATAATGAAAAAACTAATAACTCAAAAATAAAGGACATAAACAAGCAGACCACAGTAGAATTCATGCAAATAGCTTTTAAGGATCGGGATATATAATTTTAAGAATATCAAAGGAAAGGAATGTAAATTAAACAGTGCGATAACCATTCTTTATCTTTGAAATTGGCAGAAATGAAAAAGTTTGAAAATCTTCAGTGTTGGCCATTATGTGGAGAAAGGAGTACTGGCATATTACTGTAGGAAGGTATACACTTTGTCTTTTGAAAGTCAGCCTCGTGGGTCAGCTGGCCTTTGAAAGTCGTTCAGCATTTTTATGTCTGTGTATAGGACAACTTGGCAACATCTCTCAGAATTTTACAGCATATACATTTTGGCCAGCTATTGCATTCTTAGATTTTATTCTACAGATAAACATGCACACATATGCAAAGATGCATAAACGAAGATAGTCATTCAAAAGACCAAAATAACCTAAATGACCTTGATTAAATAAGCTTTGGTTCATACCCATAGTAGACGAACATGCGGCCACCGAAAAAGAAATGTGCCAATGTCTTGTATCTATTTAGTATATGAAGCCCAGAAGGCATGGAATAGAAGGCAATGTACCAACCCATTTGTTGAAAAAAAGCATACCAAAGATAGCTAGGCAGATAGACAGATAAACATGGCTGTGTATGCATACCATTTCTGGAAGGACTCAAACCTCAGAGGGCATGGACTGAGTGGTCAGTAAGCTTACTTTTCATGGTACCTCTTCATATTATTAGGGGGAAAAATGTACCATCTGCACATAATACTTTTTAAATTTAGAAACTAGCTAAATTATAAAAATGTTAGCATAACTCAATGTAGCCTTCAAAAAGATCCTTTGTAATAATAAGGATGATGTTAGTAAAATAAGAAGATTTCTCAGTCTTGTTTGGTTAATGCTTTTATCACTCCAAGGTATAAAATCTTAGTGAAAACGTACACTTTTTTTTTTTTTGGCCGCACCATGCGGCTTGCGGGATCTTAGTTCCCCAGCCAGGGATCGAACCCAAATCTCCTGCTTTGGGAGTGCAGAGTCTTAACCACTGGACCACCAGGGAAGCTCCTAAAGGTATAAAATTTTAAATGAACACCTAAAATAAAAAATAATAACTCTTTCAATAATCCAGGAGTGAGAAAGCTTTAGCCCTTTAGCTGTGAATAAGATATTCAACTTGCAAAGCCAACACTCGATTTATTAATAAATATTTTAGTTTTAAAAGATGGCCAACCAAGGCAGCGTGGGCAGGTTAAGATCATTTGTAGCTGCTGCCACTCCCTACCCATCCCCAACAATGTATTCAAATGCAATGCCAACGGTTACTTATTAAACTCAAGAGATATTATGCCCTGGGAAAACCATTATAAACTTGGCCTGTAGGAGAACTGATCTCTTAATGAAATACAGAACAACTATCTCTGAAAAAAAGAAAATGGGCAATCGCCATGTAAGTATTTATTGCTTTCGGGAATCAAACCAAGTTCTAATTTTGGTTAGCATGTGGAGAAATTTAAACTATGAAATCATGATTGATACTTTTATACTTTATCATTGTGATCACTCCTAATTGTTGGTTTTCACAACGGCAAACCATGCTTTCAAAATGCATTTGGAATATATTTTTTCTCCATTAGTCAGAAATCTCTTTGGAGGCGTGAAAGAGAAGTATTTAAAACAAGGTGGTAAACGGTGCTTGCAGAGAGCAAGCAGTTAAAATAGTATTTAAGGAATATATGACTAAAGATGTTAGTTTGCAGCAAAGCTGCACAAAGTTTCATAAACTGTGCCCATCGGTGTTTTGGGAATACAGGCTCATGTTGCAAATATCAGTAGATAAAGATACAAGTATTCTCATAAACCTATACAACTTGGATTGAAAGGTGAAAATACCCCAGTATTTTTTCTAAACAGCACCAAATGACCAGATATTTGCAAATACTCACGGAATGGATTTAATATTTTACTTTTCTTCTGAAATGTCTAGGCTCATGTGAATAGCATGTCTAGAAACTATTAATGGCTAAAAACTGACAAAAATACTACCATTTGGAGCTAACTATGCATAAGGCAGGTCAGAGTTAAATCTTGATTTTTTTTTTTTTTACAGTGAAAAAGGTATATTTAAAGCTATGGCAATAAGAATTTTAATAAGGTTTTGTTGCACCTAATGTGGCTTCCCACAGGAAGATGGATTTATTGTGTGTACACTAGGAGCAAAGAGAATAAAACTCCAAAATCTTCTGTAAACTAGAACTTTGTTAATAAGATTTTCTCCTTTGCTCTAAATCAAACTTGTGCTCAGATGGTGGCAAACCTACAAGCGTTTTCTTCAAAGAGGCATTATTTTTAAAATCATCTGTAAGTAGCATTTTCATACTAGCCAAGGTTACAAAGCTTCCATTTAGATTATCTTTCAGAGAAACTGAAACCTACTTTTAAAATACTTCTGATCCTGGAAAAATTTTTTTAAATAATAAAATAAAATACTTCTGATACTGCCTGGGCTCCCTGGTGGTCCAGTGGTTTGGACTCCAAGCTTCCAGGGGCAGGGGTCATGGGTTTGATCCCTGGTCAGGGAACTAAGATTCTGCAAGCCATGCAGCGCAGCCAAAAGAAAAAAAATTTTTTTTTAATAAATAAAATAAAATACTTGTGAACCATGCAGAGGACCTCAGGAAAAATCATTGGCTCCTGGTTTAGCAGCTTAAGAGGATGTTTTCACCCCTTGAAAGTCACCCTTTGAAAGGGGCAGCTGGCTTGTGTGAGTGGTCTAGCATTTTATGTATTTCTTTTTTGAATCCCCAGAGCCAATCTTACTCCCTGTCAGAAGGCAGGCAACCGTTGTACGAAGGGCAGGCCCAACCCTTGGCAGCCGTGCAGCCTCTCAGCCACCCATCAGGGAGTGGAGAGCCAGAGTTCCATCAGCCTGTAAGCACTTTATTTTCCCTCCAAATCATAGGTATGACCAGGCTTTCTCATGGGCCCATATTACTCACCAGTGACTTGTTATACTGGACTGTCTACAATCCTCTGGTCTGAAATGTCACCATCAGGCATTACTTCCAGGCAGGGAAATTTTTCCCTAGAAAATGTTTGTTATAATATTTGCAGCTAAGGTAAAAATGTAATTTAGAAACTCAGCTTCCCTTCCCAACAGTGTCCGCTTAATGGTGTACTGGAACAGAGTACATGATCCTACACCATGCCCCTGTGACGTTGTAGAAAATATTAGTGGAATTTAACATGTGCATAAAGAATGAATATGTTCTAAGACTGTGTTTCTAGATGAGTAAATGCAAAACCTTTTTAAAGGACAAATTACTGCATTAGACAATGACTTGAATGTGTACAAACTTAAAACTACGATGCTTATAGTTTTAAAGCAACTACACAACCAAAACAAATTTGCAAACTAAATGCTAGTAAGATTCAAGTCCATGATGTGCAAAAGTATGTTATTGATTTAGTGTAACAGATAATGTTATTTTGCTGAGATTAAATGTAAAAATGGCGCAGATTGCTATAATGTGGTTTTTCTGAGTTGCAGCCTGTCTAAAATATGATGCAGTGTGTGACTTCTTAGCTCTCCTGTCACGTTTCTCTATCCAAACTACTGAGAAACTTTTGTTTGTATGACTCCCTGTAAGACAATTGGGCCTTCTCTTGGCTAAAATGCAGGCTTTTTGTATTAAACCTCCCTCTGTTCTCTGTTCTTTCACCATGAGCTTGTAACAATTAAAGTACGGCTGTTTGGCATGCTTTTTAAATTGAAACACAAATGCAGGCATTGAAGTCCCGTGCTAGCCCCTGCTCATCCTCATGATACAGTATGCTTTATATTTGTTTTTATATATTAGTTATTATCAGCACTAAAGACACTATATAAAAAGCCTACTAGGAAGGTTGAATTCCCAAAAATATGTCCACAAACCAGAGTCCACAGATAACTGTTTGACAGATATTGCTCTAAAGCCAATAGAATGTTGGCCAGGAAATTACATTTTCCAAGGTACTCTGATATGGAATCCTAGCCAATTCTGAAAACTGAAAAATTACTTTTTTTTCGCTTTCCTCCAATCCTTTTGCCATCATTTTTTGAACTCAAGACATAGTGTTTGTGCTTAACCTATTTGGAGCAGTAATAACGGATACTTGGATATTATCATTTGCTGAAACACAGTGTTCAGAGTTTGCTTAGCCTGGAGGCCATGTCCCTGTGCTCAGTGAGCTCTGTGCAGAGACAGAAAAATAGATCCACAGGAAGAAAGCTTAGGTTCAGCCAGATGACTCTTCTATTCTACTGTGTGAATTGTTTTCAAGAGAATCACCATCTAGAGGAAAATAGAATATTGACACAAAGATTGAGATGACTTTGCCATAAGAGTGTGACTATAGGTAGCAGAGTCATAGACAGGAAGCAAGATCTAGGGGGTGCCATGGATAAATGTGGAAATAATCACAAACTCAAGAGGACTGTTGATTTCTGGAAATTGTTTTCCAGACTACTGCACAGGTGCTAGAAAGAACTGCTGCCTTGTTACTCATAGTATGGACCCTGGGCTAGCAGCAACATCCACGTGGCCTGGGTGCTTTTAGAAATGCAGAATCTCAGGCCCACTCAGACCTACTGAATCAGAATCTACATTTTAACAAGATCCTCAAGTGATTCCCATGCACGTTAAAGTCTGAGAAGCAATGGACTGGGGAACAAGTTCTTAAACTTGGCTGGGTGTTGGAGTCACCTGGGGAGTTCTAAAAACCACTGATGCCTGAGTCCCACCCCTAGAGAGTCTGAATTAATTAGTCTGGTCGTTGGCCTGGGCGTTGGGATTTCTAAATGCTCCCCAGGTAATGCTAATGAGCACAGAGTTTGAGAAACAGTGAACTGCACACCACGATCCGGACAAGACTAGCTCAGCACACCGCTGATGTCATTCTGAGGGTCGGTAAATGAAAACCAACTTGTAAATGTTAGAACATCTGCTCAGCGATCTGCCACAGTGTTTGTCAACATGCCACGTTTATGACTCACTTGTGGTAATATTTAGCCAACACAAATATTGTCTGAAATGGAGACTAGTTTGGGACTTGTAGCAGGAGTTCCGAACCAGCAAGTTCAGAAGAAGGTGGATCGGGAATACCTGAGAGCTACATGACAGGTGGGGACCAGGTCCAGATTCCTGAGAAAAGGAGGGAGGCTCTAGAGACAGGTGAGAATGCGTTTGGGAATTTGAGACAAAAGTAAGCACGGCTTGGGGCTTCCCTGGCACAGTGGTTGGGGGTCCGCCTGCCGATGCAGGGGACACAGGTTCGTGCCCCGGTCCAGGAGGATCCCATGTGCCGCGGAGCGGCTGGGCCCGTGAGCCGTGGCCGCTGAGCCTGCGCGTCCGGAGCCTGTGCTCCGCAACGGGAGAAGCCACAACAGTGAGAGGCCCGCAAACCGCCAAAAAAAAAAAAAAAAGAATAAGTAAGCACAGCTTTAACCAAGAGTGTACACTCAACTGTGATCCTCAAACTCAAAGAATCGCAGTGAACCCCCAGCAGAAACCAGCCTAGACCGTGCAGTAATATCTCTCCTATCAGGAAACCTTTTGTCCCAGAAAGTTAGTCTTTCATATTACCACTATCCATAAGAGGAAACAAAAATGGCCTCTGATGTGAACACATGACATGCACTAAAGCATACCTTCTCTATTTAATGACAACTCACCCACTTAAAGTCTAGCTACATTTTTGGGCACAATTACACGATCTGGGCTGTGGAGATTTCTTGGCTATAATAGATTAAAAGCAGTCATTTTAAAGAGGTGGGGGGAAAAGGCTGGCAAGGACAAAACCACTGACAGAAGGAAGAACATGCAAACTGAAAACTTGACCCAAGAACTCTAGTTATAGGAACCCAAGGTCACTTCGTGTAGGGGATGGATTTCAGCGTATCCCAGCGCACCTGGGCAACTCTGCTCTACAGCTCGGCAACATGAATCCAAAGGCCCAGCAAAGGTGGGCACCACTGCAGGTTTAAAGGGGCCTTTTGAAATGATGAAGATGATGGTAATAACAGACATTTTTCAAGTGCTTGCTAGACTGCGCAGTTCTGAGAGCTGTGGTCCTAATGTAGAAGCATGGGTCTACTATCAGGTATTCCTCAGTGCAATAGTCCCAAATGTGGCCCCCAGACCAGCATCATCTAGTATCGCCTAGGCTTTGTTAGGATTGCAAATGATCAGCTCCCCACCCCCAGATCTACTGAATCAGAAACTCTGGGGGTAGTGCCCAGCAATTGCCGCTGAAAAAGCCCTCCAGGAGATTCTGATGTTCCTTAGTGTTTGAGAACCAATGTTGAAGCAAAAGCCTCCCACAGGCCTCACTAGAGCTGTGCCCTTGCTCTGACCACGAACCATCCCCACCCCTCAGCCTGCCCACATGCCCTGACCATGGCATTTCAAGCCTTCTTAGCACCATGCCCTCCTCCTGGGCTTCTTACACCGAATGCAACCCAGAGAACTACCCCTTCCTGCTCCTTCCTCCACCCCAGACCAGGCCGCACAATCTCCTGCCTCCCATCTCAGAGCTGCACAGTGAACTGGCGGCAGAAAGGCAGGGAGCCACTCTCCGTCCTCTCAGCCAGCTCGACATATTCTTTTAGAGAAACTGCCAGAATCCAGGTGCTGTTTGAGGCTCTGGAGATAAAAAGAGGAATAAGATAAATGACCACAGTCCATGCCCTCAAAATAGCTCACAGTCTGGTCAGGAGGCACACAAATAAATACTTATAATGACGTGTGGTGGACACACTAATAGAAACGTGTCCACGGTAACAAGGTTCAAAAGTTGGACATGGGCTTCCCTGGTGGCGCAGTGGTTGAGAGTCCGCCTGCCGATGCAGGGGACGCGGGTTCGTGCCGCGGTCCAGGAAGATCCCATATGCCGCGGAGCGGCTGGCCCCGTGAGCCATGGCCACTGAGCCTGCGCGTCTAGAGCCTGTGCTCCGCAACAAAAGAGGCCAAAAAAAAGAAAGAGCCACAAACACAAAAAAAAAAAAAAAAAAAAAAAAAAAAGTTGGACAGAGGAGGGAATGATGCCCTGTAGGAGAAGTGAGAGTAGAATAGGGTTTCTAGAGTGGAGAAAGGCCTTCTTTGTAATGCAGGAGCACAGAGAGGTCTAGGAAGGCTGGTGCTGCTGGTGAGTTGAGCTCTAGCCCTGCCAAAGCACTCAGCACATCATACAGCAATTGCCTGGGCAGCTGCTACCCTGTCCCCCAGGCTGTGAGCTTCTGGGGGCAGACACTGTGTCTTACTCACCGCTGTAGCTCTGGGGCTTGACACATAACAGGCGTTCCATACATATTTTTGATAGAAAGATCGATGAGCAGGGACAGAGACAGGAGACAAGACTAGACAGGAGCACAGGGTTGAGACCTGAAGTCCCTTGCATGCCATGCAATGTATATTGGTTTCCTAGGGCTGCTGTGCAAACTACCACAAACTGGGGGGCTTCAAACAATGGGAATTTATTCTCTCAAAGTTCTAGAGTCTAGGGACTTTGAAATCAGCGTGTTAGCAGGGCCACACTCCCTCTGAAGGCTCTAGGGAAGAATCCTTTCTTGCCTCTTTCAGACTCTGGTGGCCCTGGGGCACTGCATTCCTTGGCTCCTGGCAGGATAACCCTAATTTCTGCCTCCATCTTCACAGGGCCTTCTTCCCTGTGTCTCTATGCTTTCTCCTCTTCTTCTAAGGACACCAGTCATTGGCATTAGGACCCACCCTAAGTCCAGAATGAGCTCATCTTTCTTTTGTTTTAAACTACCTGTAGAGGTTTGGCGTTCTTTCCTTATTTATTTAATTATCTTTGGCTGCATTGGGTCTTTGTTGCTGCGCGTGGGCTTCCTCTAGTTGCCTCTAGCGGGGGCTACTCTTTGTTGCAGTGCA